GGGGTAATTTTCCTTTTACATATTTATACTTTTCCAAGTACATGCAGTATGAGCGAAGGTGGTTGGAGAGTGCTCCTGGTAGGTTCTACTTTTTTCCTCTCCTCATATTTATTGGTTCTGTCTATCTCACTCAAAATGCTGGAGGTTGGAGGGCGGGTGTCACTGGTTCAGTAGATCCTACCTCTTTACTTTCCCTCTGTTATTTATGTCTGTTTTACCTTTTACCAGCACCAAATGACCATTATTGTGTAGTCGATGTGCTTCTCTTACTCAAACAAACAAAATTAGGCAAAAGAAATTGTTCATTCAAGAGATGATAAAACAAAGCCATAACATATTATATTTCCTTAAGTTAATAAGAATTCAAAACCAGACAAGTTCTTCTCGACTATCCCCTATAAACGAGTACAAAAATGGCAGTAGACCATGCAGTTTTTGAAGAACCCCAGAGAGGAACTGAATTCGTTTACCCTGCCATGAAGGGGTTAAACAACCGAACAAATAAGATTTCACGGAATATTATATTTGTTATTTATGATGTCTAGTATGGGGTTGTTTTTTCTTTTTACGGCTTTATGTGAAGTAACTGGGCGAGTTTCTTTAGTCGGGTGTTGCCTTCATGTCGAGCCGGCCTTTCATCAAAGCATCACACGACACTGATCATGAAATTGTTCCTTCGCTCCTTCCTGTATTTATGTTAACTCCACGTAACTGCTCAAATCACATGCCAGCCGGAGAGAGAGAGAGAGAGAGAGAGAGAGAGAGAGAGAGAGAGAGAGAGGGGAGATTGCTGTTTTGGCAAATGCTTTAAGGGGCGGCTAGCAACTGCATAAGATCACATTAGAGCGCAGGGTACACATTAAGTAGTCACAGTTTGGTGGGAATCAATTTTAAATTCTGCCCAGGTGGGGGACGATCTTATCGATTTTAGGACCACACCAAGAGATTTTTCACGAGTGCAGCTTGGTCGAGGAGAGGACAGAAGGTGGATATGAAAGCAGATTACAGGATAGGAGTAAAGAGTGGAATAGGAGGTTAAGGATACAATTTTAGAGAAGAAAACGTTCCGTCGCCATCGAACTTCGATCCCGGGACGTACTGAATGTGAGATTGACACCGTACCTCTAGACTATGAGAGCCCCCCCCCCCCC